CTATCTTACGTATGCAAAAAAATTGGGGTTCCAAGAATCCCCTAATAGATTGATGTTAAAGTACCTTTTATTTAGTTTGAAAAGGCGAGGAAAGATAATCGTAAGTTGGTTCCACCGGAGGCTGTGGTGGGTTGCCTTATATCTGTGGTTGTAGATTTGTGCAAATAGGTCCTCGGCGCACCGCTCTGCGACCCCGATGAATCCTTGAATCGTCAAAACAGGACACAATGCTTTACGATAATTCACCAATAACACGAAGGCAACAAAGGTGACGAACATTGGGAGGCAATCACATGTGGCAACATTGCAGGATGAAAGAAATAAGTGCTTTAGGGGAGGGTGCAGCTGTTCGCCTTCAATTGCACCCATGTCACACTTCGTCCACAGCCACTTAACTTATTGGCAAATATAGAAGCAAAGCATACAACATCCAACCAAAATAGGATATGCATAAGTGGACCAAATTGGAATATAAGAAGAAAGTAGGCTTGAAGCCTGCCAAATTTCTTGCCTTCGTGTTTTTTGTGAATTTTCGTAAAGCATGGTGTCATGCTCTGATGGTGTACGTCACATGCCGACGAAGGCTGAGCACAAATGGTTTGGAGTCGCAGGGCGGTGCGCCAAGGACATATTTGCACAAATCTACAACCACAGCTGCAAGACAACTGCCCCACAACATCCGATAGAATCGACTTACGAATCCCATTCAATCGCCTCCTCAAACGAAATGTAAGGTGCTCCAACATTAATCTATCTTGCCTAAGAATATACTCAATCGCACATATAAGAAATTATTTTATTAAAGCAGTTTTCAAAAGGTTATTCAGAGAATGATGATATAACAAAATTGTTAAATGTTATTCTACTAAGAACCCTGAAGAAATTATCGAATACCCTGTCTATAATCTCCTTTAGATTGGTTGGCTTGGTATAACCATTGCATAAGAATATTGCTTTTCAAATTTTTTATTATTATAAACCCATGACCTATTATTCTTATATGATGTTTACTTTTATAATTCCGTACCAAATCGCTATATTAAGTTTTATATTTTTAAGAATAATGTAACTATCTATTCAAAATTATGTTCTTTAGTTTCACTATAGAATGAAGTTGTATATAAGTATTTGGAATTTTCTCCTGTGTTTATTGCTATAACTGCTTGAATTATTATCTAGGTGGCTGACATCAGCTCACATATGGCAGAATGCACTCCCGATGTATGTTTTGAATTTCTTAAGTAAACTTAATACTTTCTTATTTATAAATATGTTACTAAGTTGAGGCGCCTTCACGAAATTCTTGCATTTCTATTCTATAAACCTAATTCACATGTCTAGATCCGCATAGGTCAATTAACGTTACTACGAATTACACTGTAATTATAACCTTAGAAGATACAAATATATATTCTAAACGAAAGCAAAATTATGAATGTCAATAGTAAAATTGAGGGATGCATGCATTCTTTTACTTCCTTTTGGTAATTTATTCAAATTCTATCAATAAACTTAGAAGAAAAAGCGATTTTATTTCTTCGTCTTGCTTCATCAGATTACGTTCTTATAATTTAGTAAGCTTAAATCAAATCAGCAGGTTACCTTCCCTGATTCGTCTTTGCCTTCAACACCAATCCTAATGCTTAGATAAAGGCAAGTCCAAAATCATAGTCATCTCTTAATATTAACACCTTTGCTATGCTACAATTCCTAGCTTAAAGGGAAGGTAACTACGTCTGAAAAATTAAAAATTTAGGCGGATATTATTTCTGAACGTTGACTACAATCGGATATTAACAAACGTAATCATATATATATATATATTTATATATATATGTAAGTAAAATATATTAGTAATTTGATTACTAGTGTCTGGGATGGTTGTGTAATTTGAGGGAGAAAAATTAACAGCGCATCCTTATTCACAATTTTTGTCGTTGCAGCAAAAGTATTGGATCCCTCAATCAATTATATGCAACATAACTTATTATACCATAAATAAATTAAAAAAATTAAAATGTGTCTTTATATTCCTTACGCTTTAGGGAGATTTCTACTTTTTAAATTTTAAATTTGATTATATTGCATGAATGTATCAGGATAATTTATAGAGTGGTTCATTTAAACCGTATCAGTCAACTAATAGCTAAAGGCTCGACTTTAAGAGAATAAAAATTAAAACAAGAGTGATAAATGAATCGCATATATGATTAATTAAGATAAAAGTAATAAAACTGTAAATTTTATTTTAGAAAGTGCCGCACTTAGTGCCGTAATTTGTTAAATACGATTTAAGGAAAATGTATTTAGCTTTTAAAACTATTTAATTTGAAGAGATTAAAAGCCTGTTTATTGATAAATTTCACACTTATAACCTTAACCCGCATGAATGAGTGGTATGAATTGGTGACCTAGATATTATTCAATCTTTAATTTCTATATAGATCATTAATAATGTATTAGAAATACATGTATATGACTCCGTTATTAGCCTTAGCAAAATAGTAATATTAATAAGTTTTACACAAGCAATTCAACCAACAAATACTTCAAGCTCAAATGCATATTTACTG